TTCTTCTTCTTCTTCTTCTTCTTCTTCTTCTTCTTCTTCTTCTTCTGTTTGTACGTCTGTCCATCTGTCTGTCTGTCTGTCTGTCTGTCTGTCTGTCTGTCTGTCTGTCTGTCTGTCTATCTGTCTGTTTGTCTGTCTGTCTGTCTGTCTGTCAGTCTGTCTGCCTGCTCAGCAGCTGCCATGTCAGCAGCTGCCACGTCAGCTGACGTGGCGAGGGTGGGGTGCGGGGTTGGTTGGATGGTGGGGCCAGGGAGGGTATGATTTCACCATGTGCCTGCTGCAGCGCGGGGGTGTTCGGACGGGGTAGTGGCCGGGTTCCAACAACCCATCTTTCCACCCCCCCCCTTCCCCCCCAGACTGTTTGGAACCCCCACCCTAACCCCCCCCCGACACCTAGTAATAAAAAATAAAATAAAAAAAAAACAAAAAAAAAACGCGCGTTCGGTCGGTTTTCCGATCCGTTCGCGTTCGGCGACCGAACGCGAACAACATGCTATGCAAGAGGAGACATTGTTTGGCGAAAACACACAAAATATGCTATGTTCTTGACGACTGTTTTAAGGTTGGTGGATAGAATAAATCATTGATAGAATGGAACAAAAGAACCACGAAAGTACATGACATTGCTGACAAAAACAAAACACGTTGTCGATGAAATTCAATTCGTCAAACACAAATAAAAAAAGTTGGTCCGCTCGTATGACAAAGTTTTGAAACCCAATGACAAAAAACACACGCGACATAGCTTCCAACAAAGGGACGGAATACCTTCACATCCACATTACGTCTGTTTTAATTGAACTGTCTACCGGAAAGGAAACATTTTGAAAAAATGGATGTCATAACCCCTCACCATCAATGTGCAAGCATTGATTACTTTCGCCGGCAAACGAAAGGATTGTCTTGCATGATTCCCAAACGATGGTGGGTGGCTCCAGGTACAGTCCAACGAAGGACTAGCCAACACCACCCCCCAACCACGCCCCCCGTGCCCATCCGATCACACCCGCAGAAGCCACTCCCAACAGGCAGCAAAAACTTCGTCGACCCCATGCTAACCGGAAACTGCAAACATGGTTCAGCCCGGGAAAGGGACAACGCCCACCATCGTCAAGCCATAACTGGATGCATTCGATAGCTAAGTGCGGCGCAAAATGCAAGGGCGCCATCGGTGGCATCATCTTCCGACACACGGGTGGGGGGTTCATGCATACCCAGATCGATGGGGCGCTTGTTGCCGTCGGAGTCCCTGTCAACGAGCAGACGCTCGTCAAATTCGATGCCAGCCTCGATCAGCAAGTTGTGCAAAATACGAACGTCGGTGACTTGCTGGAGCAGATTCTCCATGTTTGTCTTGTGGTGGCACAGAAACAGCCGCCACATCCCCTTCAGTCTCCTAAATGCTCGTTCGACAACATTCCGTGATGACTTGTGATACGTGTCGAAATTCGTCTCGTTGGGAGGTTGCACTACACCACTGTAACGCACTACAAGCCAGGGCAAGGGTCCATAGCCGTTGTCCGCAAGCACGTACCCCCTCGTTCGCACCCCGTATCGTAGGTCCACCGCATCTGCCAAGAACAATGTACCAGCTTCCACACGTCTATAGAGCTGCGACCAATTGATTGAAACCCTGGCGTCGTGGATGCTGCCTGAATACCCCACATAAACATCCAGCCCACGCATATCGAGGTTGACGATGACTTGAGCAATGACGGAGTATTGCTGCTCTCGATCGAAATAGTTTTCCACTAGCGCATTTGCTGGCTTGTCGACGTACACATGACTGCAGTCCATGCAACCAAAACAATTTGGGAATCCCTTTGCTGCAAACGCTCGTGTAACCTGCAGCAACCGGCGACCGGTCGACATCTGTATCTTGTCAGGATACACGGACAAGATAGCGTTCATCACGTCCCTCACCGCCTTGATACCACTCGACCGCCCCATCCCGAATGACGAAGTTGCACTATCAAACATCTCGCCGCTCGCCCACCTCTATAGAGCGAACACCACCTGTTGCTCCGGCAGCAAAGGAGTGCGGTAATGAGTGAGGAATTGTTGAAGAAAAGGAGTGCATGCGGCCACAATGTCGTAGAACGCCCCTCTCGTCATTCACAGCTTCTCATGGAAATAGTCATCGGTGGCGTCATCGTCAATTATGAGATCTTGCCATGTTCCGCGGGTTCTCCTCCTGATCCACCACTGTGGCGTCTCCCTAGGAAACACTCCCGACACAATGGCATTCACCGTAAGGAAAGGCGCATCCCAAATCATGGCGGAGGAACTTGAATTCGCCATGGCGTACGTAACGATGGCGTCCCTCACCCCTGTTCTTCTCGCTGCACCGCGCCACAATGCCGCTGTGTGCTGCAGTCTGCAGATGTGTCAACACGGCGAGCAACGGTGCAACGACCAGGTGTTTCTCACGCTCGGACAGTTTCTGCCGACACGGCGCAGAGCCCTCTGCCACCACAGGCGAAAATTGTATATCCTCCATGGACAAGAGCTATGGCACTTCACTCACCGCACGTCGAGCAGGACGCAACGAACACCTCCTGACGAAAGGAAACTGGCGCCGATGTCCACTGCACTCGCACGCGTCAAAGTGCAGTACAAGCCCGTGTCCACTTTTGCACGAGTTGCAATCCTATAGGCTGCAGAGCGCCGCAGTGTACCCCCAACAAATTTCGAATTTGAAAACCCGTCGCGCGCGCGCTCCTCACCTGGAGCGGTCCCTAGAGTCCCAAACAGCACACCGTAGGCGGACATTTTGAAGGCCAGGTGGCAGCCTACTGGATCGAAAACACGCCATTAGGTTTCGGCAGAAGGGGGAGCCAGGGTGTTTTTCTTTCAAGTGCGACATTTTCAAGTGCGGTCTCTAGTGTGCATGGAACGAGGAGGCGGCATAGTGTAAATTAATCACAATTTTGCGATTAGGGCGCACTTGAAACTCGAGAGTTCTCAAGTGGTGTGGAACGAGGCTCTTATACACACGCCTCTTCCCATTAGGGCTGGAAGAGCCTCAGCCATTGCTCCCCAGGAGACAGTTTCCTTGTATAACACAAATATAGCATGAGGACGGGGCATTGATTGCTTCCCCACTGAGGAAGGATTAACCCCGTTTTGTGTAGAATCAAACTTTGCCCTACACTCCTCAATTACCCCTACTTGAATCTTCTGTACAGTGCGGAGTGGGGGAGATTCCGGGGGCTAAGAGAACTACAACAGGGCTAAAGAGTTTAGTAATTCATCACAAATTAGGTCGAGCTTCCCCTAAACAACAGTAGTTAACTCAGACGCAAACTGAAGGGGAGCACACTAATTGGAAATTTTTTATTCTTTACCTACAGCTCATTAAACCAAGTCAAACTCTAGACGATGATGACCAAGGTGTAACAGTACTCATGGCACCCCACGGGCCACCGCTACCTAATCTGAACACAGGACACACCAGAAGGGAGGGTGCATGTGACCAAGGTGGAAACGATCCATTGAACTAAAAAATAGCAAAACACCAATCAGCCACAGGTGGATAAGCTTCCTATCCAAACACCCCTCCACCCTTCTTCCTTCTGTCAGCCAGAGCCATACAAACGAAAATCAAGAAAGGAGGGAGGGGTGAGGAACAACCTTCCGATTTCCATCGCACTACCCCACGCCGCCACGTGCGAAAAGCTGAATGGCAAAGGCGAGAAAGATAGAACGCTGTGAAGATCCGGCGGCCAGCTTGCCCAATGGAAGGTAACAAGCAGTCTATGTGACACCCGCGGCCTAGGCCGCGGGCATTTTGGCCGCTGCGGCCGAGGTTCTCGGCCGCGGCCGCGGCCAATGAGGCCCAGTCTGCGGCCCGGTTTTTCAATAATTTTTTTCTCCCCCTAAAAATACGTAAAAAAAAAAACAAAAAATATGGGGATGTAGGGGTTGAAAACCCTACACTTCAATTTTTTGTTTTTGGAATCCGACTTTGTTTAAGATTTTTAAAAAATCAAAAACTAAAATCGATTTAAACAAAATTAAAAAATATATATATAAAGAAAAGCAGGAATTTTTTTTGCCATTTTTTATCATGAGATATATGGTCCCTGAGTACACCTGTATTTTTTTTTGAATTGCATTTTTGTTTTTTGCAGGGAAATCAGGTGTTTTAAAAAAATAAAGATGCAAAAA